CAATTATTTGGGTCCTATATACCCCATATATCCCTCTATAAACCCTCTAAAGGGACCCTATTATTTGGCTCCTTGGACCCTTAGGGTTATGTTCCCACCCTTTAAGCAGAGGATGGTCTCCCCGACAACAGGTTAGAGAAGAGATAACATGCTCTGGGGACCCAAGTCTACAAATGATCTACACTGGGCCCTTAAGCTTACTTAGCCAATATAAGACCTTGGCCTTTTTGGGCTTCCTTTTTGGGTCTCTATATCAAAGTTCAAACTTTCTCAGCCTTGGTTATTGGGGAAGAGAGTAAGTCCACAACTAGTATCTACCTTGGGCTATTAGCCATTCGGACCCCCAGGGCTTTCCTGACATGTCGCAACAGACAAAACCCCAAAGCCTCAATCTTGAACCTTGAGCCCGAGAACGCCAAATCCTAAGACTTTGGATCCTAAAGCCTTGAAGCCTAGCTCCTTCAACTCTTCGAAGGCAAAAACCCAAACCCTTCAAATCCCAAGAAGTTCAAAATTGAATCCTTACTTCCAAAGCCGTTAAAACCCAAACCCTTGCGCCATGCCAGCTCTTTATGCCTCAAGTCCTTAACGCTTAAAGCTTAAAGGCTTAGATCTCAAAACCCGAAACCCTAAAACTTTGCCAGCTCATCGACGGGGTAGCGGCTTCATCTGGAAAGCTCTTTCGGCCGAGAGGTCTGGCTGTGGACACGCTGAGGCCCCGTAGGGTTCAGGGTGGGCCGGGATCCCCCCCAAAACCAGTTTAGGGTTTAGGGCTTATAGGGTTTAGGGTTTAGGGTTTAGGGTTTAGGGTGGGGTAGGTCTGAAACACTGTTGAAATTTTATTACCCTCAATCCCTATACACTCCCTATAGGGCTATAAGAACCTGTTTTTCACACGCCCCCCTAAACCCTAAATCCAAGCCCCCAAACCTACTCTAGTTAAGTCTAGGTATGGTATAGCTTCTGGGGCCGACCAGGTCTAGGGGTCAGATTCTTGAGGTGTAAAGACATGTTCTTCATGCGTGGTGACCGTAAACCCTATAGTCCCCCTTGAGTAGATAGAATATTGGGTATATGGGGGTCTTGTTATATTATACCATTAGTCTATCTTCTTAAGGGGGACTATCAATCGTGAACTCTGTCGGTGGGTTGATACACACACTACTGTCATGAGGACAGGTTTGTGGTCTGTTCATCGTTTTTACCGATCACTTCGTTCCGATGATCAGCTGCAAAGCAAAAAGATGAGGCATCCTTTCGATTCCTAGCCCCTCAACCTTACATGGGGTTGCCCAACATCAGGGGTACTTGTTTATGCAAAGTACCGCTCATTCCATCTCTACGTCATATGCAACCCTACACCCTAGACCCTCAATCTTACGGTTTAGGGTTTCTGGGCTTCAAAATAATATTGACCCCCAAAAGGGCGGACTCAGAAGGACAGTGTTCTTTGAAGGTTACTTCTGGGAGGAGCATCAGTCCTAACGTTGCTCTGAAATACAGGCCCTGAACCCTAAACCCAAATCCCTACACCCTAAGCGCTACATGTGCCTGGAGCCCCTTTACTAGTAATTGAGGGGTATGCCTCAAAAGTCCGTTGGGTTGTTGGTTTGATCTAGGGCCGTCTTTCTTGCTATGCATGTTCTGGGGCACCTGCTGTTCCTTGGTCTGTCCATGAAGTATGTGCCACCGAGCAAGCCGTTGAGTAAGCGTGCCAAGTAGTCATTTCCCCCCCACGGGCAAAAACATGAGGACATCAGTTGCCCAGCTGCAGTTGCCAGAGTTGTTCGGATGCAGACAATTCCAAGAAAGAACCTTGCGACCAGATTCATGCCACGCCGCGTGCAGTGCAACCATCACTGCAGTGTTGGGCAGCGGAAAGCAACACAACATCTTGAACACATCCTCCAGCTCCTGCATGCGGAACATTGTGAAACGCTGCAAGCCTGCAGGCAGGTACCGTCTAGCACGACCTAGAAATAGAAAAACAAACACGGGCAGCGCAAGATATGAACCTTGCCCACCACCCATGGTTGCAGCAATGCGTGATCTTGGTCATGCAACCATACAACGCGAATCCCAGAAATGAGTAAACCTCATATTATGGTTGGTAATACTCCTTGCTGGTTGCTTGCACTGAGAAGTCTTGTTAGCAGTGAAACTGCCGTTGCTATCCCCCCTACCCCCCCCACCCCCCCAAACCAAGGCGATGCTACCGATGAACTGAACATGACAGAGTGGAGCGAAGAACCCTGAACAAAACAAGAAAACCACGCGGCCAAGTACTACTGTGACAGGCCCAAGGTAGGTACTATTTATAGACATGGAGCCCTAGGGATATTCTTGAAATTGGACACTTGGAGAGTCAGGGGCACATGGTGAGTATACATATAACCCCTGTAAGCCATATAGTGACATAAACCCTAAACCCTAAACCCGAAGCCCCAACCCCTGTTATCCCCACTTGTAACCGACTTACTAAGTCCCCCTTGGGGCCTCTCTGGGTAGGGGCTTCCTGTACGTCAGCGACAGCCATCATCGCAAAGTTCGCCGTATCGATCTGGGCTCGCAGGCGTTATCCGGAGGCCGGGTAGGGTGTAGGACTTAGGGAAGTTTAGGGTTTAATAGAATATGAAAGGGGACTCCATTTTTCGGAAAGCCCCAAATTCTTGAGGGTTTGGAGTTCCAATTTTGGCGCTTCGAACGTTCGGTGTAGGACTTTGGGTTTAGCGCGTGGTAAGGCCGAAAGTAAGGGCGGGTCATGGGTATACTGTATAGTAGAGTGAAGCAGCATTCAACTAGGGACCCCCAAAAGGCACCATAGCTTTGACAATTTTAAGGGCTTTGAGCGCTTTCCATGGTAATTTAGGGTGAGGAGTCTCGGAAATGTATTTGGTGAGAAGTTGAGTCCATAGGGCGATGACGAAAATCTGACATTTCCCATCTGAATGTATGGAGAAAAGATGTGCGGAAGTTAGCTGTGGCACACTAGCTCAGTAGGCAATCTGCTCCGTAAGTCTACGAGATTTGTGAACACTGCCCCTGAAGGCTGCAGAGACTAACCATAGAGCTAGGGCTTAGGGTTTTTCAGTTCAGGGCTTAGGTCCAAAGTCTCCAATATGACGGTTGTAGGTGCAAAAGCACCACGGATTCTTGTATTTGGTACCCGAAACCTAGGTATTTCAGTCCTTGGACCCTTTTAGGCACCTGATCAGGAGATGTGCAATTGTTCGAGTCCAGATGGTTGCTTGTCTAACCTAACCCCAAGGCTCCATGTAGGTACTATTTATAGGGTTTGGGGCCCAATGTAGGTATTATTTATAGGGTTAGAGCCTCAGGGTAACACAGTACTCAAAGCACCCTGCGAGAGACTCTTGTGGCCAGTAGGGCGAAGTGCTTGACCTTCAACTCCCTCACGGCACACAAAGCCTTTCCAACTGCTGTGTGCTTATTTGCTGAGTTTGACATGAAGACATGATCGGTGCTTTGGCGTCCGGAGCACTGGCAAGACTGTTAAAACGGTTTTACAGAAGGTAGCCATTTTCCCAAAGGGGTCAACGTGTAATGCAGAC